TTAAGAAAATATTTTTGGAGTCGCCACCATAATTTATTATGGGAAAACTATGGAAAACCATAAAATAAGACATGGTCTATGAAAATTATATTTTATGTTCGGGAATCGGTTACGCGTAAGGAAGATATTAGCACCCTACTGTGCCTGCCCCAAGGTCGTACCTTTAATTAAATGTATAAAGTTGACGTGGTTTTTTCAAAATACTTAATTTTCCCAAAAAAAAATAAAGAAATTATTAAGAAACAAAAATATTTTTTTTGTTTTATGAACCCGACAAAGATTGACCTTGCTCCTACGTATATCCATTTATAATGGAAAGTCAGGGATCACGTATTTATGGTAATAAAAGGTTTTTTAGTTTAACAAAATTGCCATTTTTGGTTTTAAATATTTTGTATTTTTTTATTTCAAGAATGGTGGGAAAAAGGAAAGAAACCAAGTCATAGACACACACATACTTATATTAAAAAAAATTATGATTTAAAAAAAAACATTATTTGTGTGTAGTAAAAAAATAATACCTTTTAGAAAAAACTTTCCAATGAAAAGAGAAAAATAAGGGTGTAGAGGTAACATACATTTTTAGCTTTTAATATTTCCTTAGTGCTTCCTTGGTGGGTTGTCTTTGACAGAACCCTTATGTGTGTGAGAACGTATTTTTTTCTATACTCTCTTTCTCTCTTTCTATCTATGTTATTATTTCAGAGTATTTCTCTCTATCTTTCTTTTCGTCCCCTTTTTCTATGACAGAGTGTGTATTTATATACACACATTGTAATATTATGGTAATTTTGCCTTAATTGTAAATTAATGGACAATGAACAAAATAGAAAAACAAAATGTCTTGGTTCTAAGAAAAAGAAATCAAATAATATTCAAGACATTTATTATAATTATTTTCAGAAAATTTGTCCATTTTTTAAAATCATATTTTCCTCTTTAAAAGCAACTGACGCAACAAATTATATTAATATACTTTTTTAATTACTGCTTTAATTATTGGCATAATATTGATTCAAATTATTACCATATCAAACTAATATTTCAAAAATATTTTCTAGTGATGTGTCATGCAATAAGGAAATTTATTTTATTTTTTTCTTTTTTCTTTTTTTTACCCACCATTAATTATTATTCTCTTATTCTCTATTTTTATTTATTTACCTACCGGACGAAATTGGGTGTTAGACACCTACAATCTTAAGGATTTATCATTCTCAAAAGCATTTGGAGGACCACTTGTGAGATTTCTAGTAGTGGCAATAGTTGTTGTGACAACGATTTTGGTTCCCATAGTATTGACATAGTTACTAGAAGAACGTGTGTCTGTGTGTGTGATGACTATAGTAGAGGGTTCTAGGGGCGATTTTGGAGGTTGTGTGTGGCATCCTTTGTTGGTGAGGACTCAAACCGACGATTGGCACAAGCGCGGTGTCTCCTTTTAGAGGGCATCCACTCAGGCAAGGGTCTAACGGTGACAACAACCTTAATTTGGAATCTCAAGTAGTCGAGGAGCTCAAACAAATATGGAGGAACTTAACAAGTTTGGGCAATTGAGGTGAAGTTTGACAACCTCGGGTCGTCAAGGCGAAACTCGACAAGCTTACACAGTAGATGAAGAGCTTGGCAAGGGAGCTCGCCACCACAACAAAGGAGGAGCTCGACAAGGGAGCTCGACAATGTCGATTAGAGAAAGATATTCACAATATCTTTATCACGGGAGGGGGGTTATACTCTCTACAGTCTCCGATTTATTTTCAGCACCTTTTTATGAAAAAAGATTAATTATGCATAATTTGGGTTTATGTTTTGAAAAAAAAAACAACCTTTTTTGTGTTTTGGATAAATTGCCTTTTATGTGCAAGAAGAGATAGAGTAAGAGTAGACAAATAGTTGATTTTGAAAGATGGAATTAACATGGTGAATGATGTAGTGGACCGTTATCATGTACTTGAGTAGTTGTTCGTATACTCTACCTAAAAATGAGAGGAGCACAATCTTGTATTTTCTCATTTTTCAATCTTAAATATTTAAGACGCTGGGGTGTAGGTAAAGTTACTCAATTACTTAGAGAAAAAATTTGGTTTTTTACCTAATGATATTGATAATATTCTAAATTTGAAAATAGAAAATGTCATTATATATTTATATATATGGATGATATTTTAATGATTGATATATGCAATGAGATAGTCTCTAAAACTAAGATTTTAAGAATCTTATTTTGAAATATAAGTTGTTTCTAGATGAAGTCAATGTGAGTTTAGAAGTTAAAATCATCAGGAAGGGAAATAATATATTATTGTTTAAATCAATACATGAGAAACTTTCTTAAGAATTAATAGTGAATATCCCTTATAATACTAATTCTCAATTAATAAAAATTACATATTAATCTATTTCTCAACCTCAGTATGTTCATATAATTTGGAACTTATTGCCTTTTATAAACCTTTTTTAGACATGATATTGCTTAGGCAATAGTAACATTGAAAATATACACTTAATATCCTAATTCGAAATATTGAGATGTACTTCCAATACTTTAAGAGATTTGATGGATTACGCCATTGAATATAGTGAATTTTCTATTGCACTATAATAGTATAGTGATGTTAACTAGATTTTTTATTCAGATGAGACAAAATCCACTTGTGATTCACAGTTGTGGTGGTGTGAAGATCAGTCGGGAAAATTATTATTGCAATATCAATAATGGAATTTAAGTTTATTAATCTAAAAATGGCTAGTAGTGAAGTGGAGTGGTTGACGAACTTCTTACCTAGCATTTCACTAGGAATGAAATCAATCTCTTTTGTATCAATACACTGTGATTGTCAATCGATAATACTGTAGCAAAAAACAAGAACTACAATGGAACCTATATAAATAGGGGTGTTGTTCTTCCTATAAGGGCATAAAACACATTTTCTTCAAGCTCTCCCTTGCACTTCTCTTTGTTATCTCTTTTCTTATTCTTTTGTATCATAGCTTTATATATACTATTTTAAGAGAGTTTTTCTTGATAATTGTGATATCCTCAGAATTTTCAGGAAGTTTTTGTTGTATCATGGGAAATTTATACATAAAATGTCGATAAATCCTTAAGGGTAGTGATAATTCACACCTCGTGAAGTCCATTCAATCCGTGTTCTTATCAAATTCTCCAACATTCTAGAGGTCAAAATGATACGAGGTATATTCATCATGAGTTTAAGTTGGTTTAGGTTAAAAAAATTTAGTTTTTTGAATTGAGATACAATTAAATTTGACTCATTTAACATGCTATAAAGATCAAAATAATCTTTAAGGTATACTCATTACGAGTTTAAGTTCAGTTATGCTAAAAGAAATTTAAATTTTTAAATGGAGATAAAAATAAACTTAACTCACTTAACATGTGGATTAAACAAATTTGAGTCTAATTAAAAGTGGGATATACTTGGAACTCAATAACAACTATCATTTATATTTAAATGTAAATGTTTAATTTATTTGTTTAACAAATTATGTTAGTTAACATTTTAATTTTCAATTGCTATATTTATAATAATATTTATCAAATAAAATAAACACTTTAACTATATTATTATAAAAAAGTAATCAAAGTTAATTTATTATGATTCTATTTGTAAGAAGTATATAAAATAAACCAGATAAATAGCATTTTTAAGTAAATCGACTCATCAACCTATTAATCTATGAAGAGCTGAACCTAATTTGATTTATTTATTTTTAGTTCAACGTAATGAATTGAACCTAATTTAATAAAAGAAGGTTGATTTCCTTTAATGTTCTTAAAGTTTTTTGATTTAATCTTTGTTTTTTATTATATATGATACTCAATTTTTATATTTTGACTATAGTATATAACTTTCAACTCATACGAGATATATTTATATTTTATTTATTCATTTCAATACACTTTTTCTAACCTGTGTTGATATTTTAAGATAACAAAACATAATTATTATCTGAATCAATTACTATAACAACCATTAATTTTGATATAACTGTTAAATTTTTTCATGAAAAATGAAGTGAAGATACAGGACGAATTATCTCCATATTTAATATATAAAATAATATATGAAAGCACAAAACTAATAACCAAATTATGACAAAGTGACTAGACTTCTAGCTTCCGTAATTAAGATTAGAAGCTCGTTCTTCCATTTAAATTTGGAGTACAAGTAGAGATGTGACTTTAATCTCAAACATAACTTATCTGGTTAAAGAGCAATATAAAGATAAAAAGGAGAAGAGAAGTACCGTTTTTGACCTCTTTTTATGATTGAAGTGCATGTTACACTCATATAAACAGAATCCAAATATAATTAATGCAACACAGGAAAGTCAAATTAAATATTGAAATATTTTTTATTAGGACTTATAAACATTCGTTTTATTTAAGTAAAAAAGAAATACTGACTGGGTGTTACGTTCAGGCATACTTTATTTATATTCTCTATTTAAGATTTATGTATATCAAAATCATAGTTTATAGATACTGTTTGAAAAATAACAAATGTCAAAATATAAACAATCAAAGTTAAAAGTTGAAATGTCAAAAGTTCGAAAGATATTAAATGAAAATCATTAAATAAAAAAAGTTAAATAATATGGAAGTAAGATAAAAGATGTTTGGTTTTTTTTATTTATCATTTAAACGAAAGAGAAAAGTGGATATTTTTTATATGAAAAACTTAATTTCATCTCCGACTTTGTCTTGAAATCTAACCGTGTCAGATCTCTTTGGGCATGATTTTCTTTTTCAAACAATAAATTATTTTTTATGAAGGTAATGTAATAAAGTTAACTTTTTATGAAGGCAAAAAGAATTTTGAAAGGAGTTTACTAATATAAATTAATTACATTTTTAGAAGATTAATTAGGGAGTGATATTACATAGACGCACGTACGCATGGGGTGGAGTGTGTGTGGCGGAAGCAGTAAAAGGCGTAGGTGGAAATAAGAAAAGAGGGAAATTAGATAACGACGACGTATTATATTGGTTGGAAGGCAAAGGAAGGGCAGCACCACCACAGTTTCACATTCACTCACCCAATTTTATTTCTCCCCTAACCCCTTTCCCTTCCCCTTCTCTTCTCCATGGAGGAGAAACGCCGCGAAGCTGCTCCCTCCGCCGCAGATTCCCCGGCATCGGAGCCCGCATCGTCTCGCCGCCGCGCCGGGGCCAACAAGCGCAAGTCAGCCGCTCTCAACGCCTCTGGTTCCTCCTCCGCCCCCTCCAAACGCGCCGCTCGCGACAAGGCCTCGCCGCTCCACCCTCCTCCCCTCCACAATGGCCCCCTCACCCGGGCCCGCCAGACCCCCAACTCCCTCGCCGCCGCCGCTTCCTCGAACGCCGCTGCTTCCGCTCCCGCCGCCGTCAAACACTCCGAACGCACCCATCCCTCTGCTGCAGACTCCGCCGCGCTCGCCGAGCAGCTGAGGAAGGAGAGCGAGTGGGAGACTCTGGAGGCTGCGATTGAAGCGGAATTCGAAGCCATCAGATCTCGCGGTGCCAATGCGCACGTGGTTCCCACTCATTGCGGTGAGACTTTGGGCACTTTCTCGAACCCTAATTTGGTTATGTTTATCTTTTGGGCTTCAATTGTAGCAAATAGTATCAAACACTCCATGTGTTCGATTTTATGTCATTGTTGTTCACCTGATGTTCGCGACGAACGAGTGATTTCGCCAAACTGGTGCATGATAGATTCTCTTAAGTTATGTTTTTACCATTTGCGGTTTGCTTTTCTTCCTAATTCGCAATTTAAATTACGTTACCCTAAGTAGGTGTAATTGTTTGAGAACTGAACTCCTTTTCTAAATTACCCCAGAGCAGATTTGATGTGGGAAATTGTATGTAATAGTTCTATATTCTGAAATTTTACCGGACCAAGCTGACCTTATGACCTAGCAAAATAAGTGATGACCAGAGGCGCGCCCGAGGCTCTGACTAGTGGGGGCAAACAGTATAACTGTATACTCTTATTTTAACATGATTCTGTTACTTGATAATGGAATCACTATATAAATTTGTTGGGAGCAAAAAATTAATTTTTCATGTATTTAATTGTAATTTTACAAAATTAAGGGGGTGTCCATCCTCAAATGTTCAAGGTCCGCCACTGCTGATGATGACATGACAGTGTGACTTTTAACAAAATGGCAGATGACTGTGGACTTTTGTAGTAAGTAGCAAGGAAAGGTCAGGAATAACTGTGTGGAAGCTGATTGAGTGTTTCTGTTTTCTTTGTTGGAATTTTCTTAACCCTAAACAAGAAGAAAACTGCACTTCAAGACACATCATCCTTGCTGCTGGGTCCAAAAGTGTGTTGCATAATTTAAAGAACGGTGCAGTATGAGCATTAATTCCTATCATGTAGTTGTCCAACAAGAGGCTGGAGATACTTTTATGCAAATGTTTGGTGACCCAAGTGTTCAAATCGTTGATTTACTATTTCAATATGTAATTGCAATGAGCGTTTTTAGGTTTTGACCCAAAGCTAAAAGAGGTTATTCTTAAATTAGTCATTTACTTTGAAATTTAATTTCAGGTTGGTTTTCATGGTTGTATATTCATGAAATTGAGAAGCAAATGTTACCTTCTTTCTTTAATGGCAAAACTGAAAATCGGACGCCTGGTGTATACATGGAGATACGAAATTGGATAATGAAGAAGTTTCATTCAAATCCGAATGTGCAAATTGAATTGAAAGATATGTCACAGCTTAATGTTGGAGATATGGCTGCTAGGCAAGAGGTAATGGAGTTTCTAGAGTACTGGGGTTTAATTAACTTCCACCCATTCCCTTCAATGGATTCTGCCGTGGCCACTGCCAGTGATGACGGAGAAGCAGAAAAAAGTTCTTTGGTTGAAAAATTGTATCACTTTGAAACTCTGCAATTATGTCGACATGTTCAAAGGTCTAGCCAAATGACTCCAGCTACAGCCTCTGGCTTGTTTCCAGAGTCTACCATTGCTGAAGAGTTGGCTAAACAAGAGGGGCCAGCTGTTGAGATGCTTGAGTACCATTGCAATTCATGTTCTGCTGATTGTTCTCGCAAACGTTACCATTGCCAGAAGCAGGTTGGTATCCATGACTGAAATTGAAATGCACCTTATAGTGATATGCTGAAGATATGGTTTAACTTTAAATATATTATTTATCATTCCTTTTATACCACTCAAATGCAATCTTGTCCTAAACTTGGTGTTCTTATAAAAGTTGTAGCTTAAGTTCCATTGGTTGGTATATTTGTACTATATCTCACACTTTTAATGAATTAATATGTTATCACATTTTTATGATATCTACCATAAATGTTTTCTGTTGTTACCTTTGTAGCTTGATGGTGTGGAATCAATTAACATTGTTATCCGAGTTGGGTTATAGATTTTTTTACTTTTGTTAAATGCCACCATAAAAGGAACATTTCTGGAGTAGTGTAACAGCTACAGTGAGTTTTGAAACCTTTTCAATTGCCATTGAACTTAGAAAAGAATCAATCATCAAGAGAGGCGAAGTGTTTACTGACTCAAAGGGTCATTGTTTATATTGATATTTTGTGGGTGTAGTGGTTTCTGTAATTCAGTTATTAGCGGGCTGGTTGTCTATTTCACTCTTTGTTGAATTATCACTGATACATTGTTGGAATATGGTTATTCATGAGTTTTTTAATTTGTTCCTCCATTTCATCTTTTATCTATTCTGTGATGTGCTGACAGGCAGATTTTGATCTGTGTTCCGACTGCTTTAGTAATAGAAGATTTGGCTCTGGCATGTCTTCATTGGATTTTATTCTCATGGAACCAGCTGAAGTTGCAGGGGTTAATGGTGGAAAGTGGACTGATCAAGAGACCCTTCTGCTACTTGAAGCCTTAGAACTTTATAAAGAAAATTGGAATGAAATTGCTGAACATGTTGGAACAAAAACAAAAGCTCAGTGCATATCGTACTTTGTTCAAATGCCAATTGAGGATACCTTTGCTGAATTTGATGATAATATTGATGCTGGTTGCAAAGAACCAACAGATCCAGTTGCAACAAACAATGACTCATCTGTGGACAAGGATGCTTCAGAATGTATTGAGAATGATACTAGAGATGGCATCAAAGACCAGGATAAAAATTCCAAGGCTGAGGATGTTGAAGTAAAGGTGAATCAAGAGGAGAATCTAAAGTTACAAGAAGGTAGTGATGAGAAAGCCAGTGAGGGAACTTCTAAATCTGAAGATGCTGTTAAGGGGAAGTCTGATCAGGAAGCAGGCAATGAATGTGCTATAAATGCTCTCAAGGAAGCATTTGCTGCTGTTGGTTATTCTCCTGGACCTGATGGACCTTCTTCATTTGCTGAAGTGGGTAATCCTGTCATGGCACTGGTAAGTTGAATGCATCGATGCATGAACAGTAACATTAATTCTGTGTATTTTTGGGGTATGGCTATAAGTATCTGGTTTGAATTATTTAATTCAAATCTCCTTTCTTTGGGACAATAATTTTGAATCACTTATTTTGCTGTGAGTTTGTAAATGCTGGTTGTGCACTGTGCCATGTCTTGTTGCTTGCAGACCACAAAAGCCTTGCCAAACTGCTAGCGTTTGTGACACCATTAAATAATACTTACTATTATATCACATAGAACCTTTCTCGTTCCTTGTGTCATTTCATGTTATTTCCCAAGTAGTATTCTCTTGCTAAGTATTATTATGTGGCCTTCTTCTACAGGCAACGTTCCTTGCACACTTGGTGGGTACTGATGTGGCTGTTGCTTCAGCTCATAGCTCCATAAAATCCATGTCAAGAAATTCTCCTGGCACTGACCTTGCTGCAAGGTGCTGCTTTCTTCTAGAAGATCCGCCAGATAATAAGAATGAACCAACTAGTTCTGAGAAGTATGTGGTAGTTTTCATTTTGGTAGTTTGATATGAATTCCACTTCTTGTTGATTGAAATTTACAATGTTATTACTGTATTTTGATCACAGGGATTCTAAAAGTGAGGGAGATCAGGACGAAGTAAATGTAAAGAAGGACAAACCAATGTTGGATGATAAAGATTTACCAAATGATCACAGTAATATGAAAGTTGGAAGTGACACTTTAGAAGACAAGGGACAGCCGGCTTCCACAGATGGTGCAGCCTCAGAAAAGACAATTTCTCCAAAGGAGCAACCAATGGTTAATCATGAAAGTGGGCTTGACAACTGTAATGTTCCTATCAGTGCAAAGCTATCCAATGATCAAGCACCAGACACTCTGCATGATTCAGGTGGTTCAACATCCAAGGTTGAAACTAAATCTAATTCTGACCAGGTTCAGGAGGGATCCTTAATTGAAGAACCTTGTCCTGCAAAGGGCATATGTGTGTCTGATTCTCTTCCATTGGAGAAGAAAGAACATCAGCCACTAAAATCCAATTTACCAGGAGAGTGTCCAAAGCTAGTAGAGACATCAAAATGTGAGATAGTCTCTGATTCTATTCCCCCAACTAAGAACAAGTCTCAAAATCCACAATCTACAAATCCAGTATGTGAATCTGTAGAAACAACAGACTCAGCCATGGATGTTGAAGGAGTTTCTAATTCCTTGCCGTCAGAAAAGGTCGACTCTCAGGCACTATTTACAACAAAGTCATCCCAATGTAATGGGATAGAAAAGGATGTAGATATGATGTCACCATCAAATCCAGTTAGAACAAATTCTGCTACTGAAAATGGTGCAAATACAGGTCTCTTTCTTTTCCTTCCTCTCATCCACGCATGCAGGGAAAAAATAAGTGCCATATTTATTCAGAAAATGTAATTTTAGGTCTATCTCTATAATTTAGCAGATTTTGATTTTAATCCGCTAAAAATGAATAAAATCGACATACAGGGACAGGTAAAGATCAGACAGATAATGGAGCAAAAGTGGAAGAAAAAGATACAAGGATTAAACAGGACAGCAATTTTGAGAAAATGAAACGAGCTGCAGTTTCTACACTTGCTGCAGCAGCAGTAAAAGCAAAAGTTCTAGCAAATCAGGAAGAAGACCAAATCCGACAGCTTACTTCCTTGTTAATAGAAAAACAGGTAATCTCATGGCTTGATAAAGATATCGTTGCCTTGTATTAATGTTTTGTGTCTGACTTTCTTTGTAAATTCTGTCTACTTACAGTTGCTCAAGTTGGAAACTAAGGTGGCTTTTTTCAATGATGTGGAGAATGTGGTGATGAGGGCAAGGGAGCATGTGGAGCGATCAAGGCATAAGCTTTATCACGAGCGTGCGTTGATTATTGCATCGCGGCTTGGTATACCAGCTTCGTCCTCTAGAGGTATAGCACCAACTGTATCAACTAATAGATTTCCTACAAATATTGCGAACTCACTCCAAAGACCACAAATGATGATGAGTCCACAAAGGCCACTTCTTTCTAGACCTGCAGCCACTGTTGCTACAACTCTCCAAAACCCATTAGCATCTTCGACTGCAGCAGGAAATTCAGTTCGGCCATCTAACCAGGAAAAACTTTCTTCTGTTGGGACAAAATAAAGGTTCAGTACATCTGCTAAAAAGTTATTGTCTTCATACGTACTGATCTCTCGCCATCATTTTGACAATGTGAGTATGCATTCTCATTTTGTTGTGGGTTTTCTTTTAGTTGAGGTCAGCAGCTTAGTTGAGTGTTATATAGTAGATCATAACTGGTAATTTTAGTTAACAAAGTAAATAGAAAAAAAATTACGCAAAAAAGACAACTATTATTAGGAAACGAAGTGAAAGAAATATATGGAGTTCAACTTGGGAATATTTGAGGAGAAAGCATGACAGTCCGTTTCCAATTTGGAGACATGAATCTGTATTTTGACCTTATTTTTTATTGTATTTTTCTCTTTCCTATATTGGGAATTGTCATATGTTCGTTTTTCTTTTCCTTTTTGGCCTCAACTCCCTGTTTCTACACATATAGCATTCAATTCAATAGAGTTTATCGAGTATGATTTAAATACTTATTTTTCTCATTCATGGAAATTATACTTCTTTCACTATTATTTTTCCTCTTACACAATGAACTTTAACCCTAATTCATTTTTATAAAACCTACTTATAAAATTAGATTTACCCACTTTTATATTAAATTTAGTCATATTTCTAATCGACAAGCGATTTTCAACATTTCTCATTGCATTAGGAACGTTTTTATCATAATTGCACATGCTTTAGAGATGACTCGACTCCTTTGTTCAAAGCAATACCTTTTTTGGTTGTTTTTAGTGAGAAGCTAATCTTCCTTGATGGATACCGCGCTCATCTTTATAAGTTTTTAATTATTCATTTACCTTAGTTCCAGTATAGTTGCTTGCTTGGTTCAATTATTAATAGTTCTGTTATAGACGCTTGTTGCATGCATTGTAATTAATTAACGGATACCACTTGATCCAGTCAGTTGTTTCAAAGGTCAAGTGCTGGTTAGGACTAACTCCAAATTGACGACGATTGGAAATTCAGTGAGCAGAGTAGCACATTGGAAGTTCATCCTTACCCCGATATAAGGAGCCGCCGGAGTTGAGAGGATTTACTGATATTTTGAAGTTGTAGAGCCATTTTTTTAAAATTTATTTTTGAAGTATTTAACTTAAAACAAGTGGATAGTTGTGCAAAATTTGCGCGTTCAATCCTATAACTTCAATGCTATTCACTGCATTATTGGTTGAGAGCATATTGAAATTTGGATGACTTCATAAAGAATATAGCAATCTCGCAATGAACAAGAATTTGCTACGTTGTATGGCTATGACTCATTTTACCGGCTGACTCATTTTACCACGTTTCTTTTTCTTCAGTCACGATTGCTTTCATCACTTTTCGGCGGATTTTAAGAGGACTAGTTTGTTGGTTTCTTTCTTTCGAATTAAAGTCCTTCTACCATTATTGATCTATAAAAGAAATATAATTCCAATTTTTTATTTACAAGCATTTAGTGGATAATTATTCAAGAATTTAAGTATATTGGTTTTGTTAATAAAACTTCCATCAATTTCGTAACGTTAAAAGTTCTATTTCTTTCATTTAATTCACAACCGATATTAAAAGGAGTGAATAATTTTAGTAAAGTCAAAATATAAAATATACATGAATTCAGAAAAAACAATGGCTGGAACTTATTTCAGAGGTAGTTATTCTTGTTTTCTTGCTTGTTTAGAAATAAACGATTATGCTTTGACCAAAAGTCATGCATCATTAATTACTTCCAGTCTGCTATTCAGAAAGATCAGTCCACACTGGCAGTTTGTTTTTCTCAAACCAAGGAAAGTCCACGGCAAAAGTAATTTATAAAAGACATGAAAGCTTAAAATCTAAAATATAATGTTTTCAGGCTGTCATAATTTAAACTAAGGGGTCGGGAAATTCGCACACCATGATTATCATCAGACAAATTAAAGATATAAATTGTAAGGTCTGTAGCTTCCATTTCCTGTTATAGAAAATCACCATATCTTAAGGTTTCAATACCTCGAGAGATTTACCCAGCAACATCTGAATCCCAGCAAACCACTGCGTTGTGAGGTTGGTCCATCAACAAAAGCTCGAATCATGACCACGACAATCAATCATTGTTCACAAATTTGTGGAATAACGAAAACAGTCGTACAAAATACTGCCTATGTTGAGTACGAACAATGAGGAATGCAATACATAACTTCAAAAAGATCTTAAGCAGTTTTCTTTTACAATATCGGAATAGCATACATGTAGAACTAATATGATCAATTATATAACATACCAAACAAGTACCAAATATAGCATTGGATAAATTTGTTTCTTGAGCAAACACTAATGTACAATGACGCCTCTTCATAGACAGCAATGACTAAACACAGTGAAATCATTTTGAAGTAATGTACTTTATTTGTTTTGAAAAGAAAACCTATATATTCAGCACTCGCACCCTGTTGCCCGTGGCTGACTGCTGTTTCCAACATCAATTGTGTCTGGCAGGTATCTTCAATAAGCACGGACAGCAAAACCCAAAATTAATATTAATAACACATGAATGAATAAATGAAGTTTCAAATAATAAGAACCATAACCAAGAAATAGAAATACTGCAAACAAAATACACAACAAAAACCAATTGCAGGACTTAATCATATTAAACAAACTAGCATCTCCAAAACTAAATCCCGAAGCAGTCGTGATTATGGTAAGCAACGATCTTTCAATATTACAAAAAAAATCCATTTTACCAACAAATTAAAAACAGAAACATGCACTTTACAAACAACAAGCTTAAAATTAATAATGTATGCCAATGACCAATTATTTTTTGGGTACAGTATAAAAAATGGTTTGTCTCAAATATCAATAAGGAAACATTAACCACAGATAGATCTTCCAATTTGAATATATGGACATTGTAAATTAAGACACTGATGGGACCAAACTGTGCTCCTCAAACAATGAATACAACTTCATAAACTAAGACATCTGGTTTAATGTGACTCTGGTGATAAGTTCAGTTGGTCAGTTGACAAATACGAAAGAAGAGATGCTCAGATATAGGAACTTACAATTCTTCTTCTTCTCCACTTTTCAGGGCATTCTTTGCTATGCATTGGAATGCTTCTTCAACATTAATGCCTTCTTTGGCAGATGTCTCAAAATATGGAATATTTCCTTTTGATGCACACCAAGCCCGAGCCTTCTTTTCTGACACCTGCACATAGGAACTTGTCGAGTTCATATCTTTAGCATTATGCATTTGGTGTTTTACGAGTCTAGGAGGGTCTGATGCGGGATATCTTTTTAAAAATAGAAAGTAAAATTGAAGACAGCAAACTTAAGGGGGGAAATACCACTCTGCTGTTCCCACCATCAATATCTATTTTGTTTCCTATGACAACAAAAGGAAAATTCTCGGGATCGGAAGGACTTGCCTGATAAAGTGATCACAAATATTAGAAGTTGCAAATTCTGTAAAATAGTGCTTGCCATAATAGATAAAAACAAGATTTACACATTTGAAGGAATATAAGCATACTTGAATCAGAAATTCCTCCCTCCAGTTGTTAAGGTTGTCAAATGATTTCATTGAATTAACATCATATACAAGAACACAACAATCAGCACCTCGATAGAAAGCAACTCCAAGGCTTTGGAATCTTTCTTGGCCAGCTGTATCCCAAATCTGTAAAGTTAAGAACAAACAATTAACAACAATAAAATTTTGACCGTCATAACTTGTTTAAAAATACAGAAATAGAATGTGAGAAATAGAATAAATCCCCAAAATAATATCAACTAGGAACAAAGTTACATAGGCATCTCCGACACTGCAAGCGTGTGACTGTAGTACAACTACACTGGTCACTCACAAATCACAATCTTTAACTGGAAATCCTCCATAAAGGCTCTTAAGAAAGCAACAAAACAATTATCCTTTCATCATTAGTAATCTAGTAATCTTTAAAATAGTTTAGTTATCTATCCCATCAGATTCAATCCATACAACATCCCAAAGATGCTCAATCATATTAATAAAACCATTTTATTGTATACAATACTATGAAGTCCACGTTAAGGTCACAACTGTCACATGTACAAGACATACTACAATGACATGAAAAATAATGGGATGATTAGTTTCTCAGAAATTCAAGAAATTGGTACCCTGCACAACCTACATCCCATGTACAAGAGTATTTCCATAAAGTCCAAGAAACTAAATATTTCAAAATAACTTGAGTGTATCTGAAACCTACTGATTAGCGTTAAATGGAGGTTTACACGTTCTGATGCACAAAGTAAAAGTAATTCGAGCGTTGGATTGGCGTTACATTGAAAGTGGAATTCCGTACACACTTGAACATTCTAACATTATTAGGAGTAATAACCAGAGAAATTTAATCCAATAATCTAGAATAGACTAAGTACGATGTGAAAGTATATACGATGCCTCGGCAATTAGACAATTTGTTCCACAGGCTTTATAGCTTGCAAGATCAATACATGAAAACCATTATTAAGGAGGTTACAATCAACGAATTATTCCGCCAAATCAGTACATAACATGACACATAATAAGATAGGGAAATCTATGCAATAACATCAAAAAGGCGAGACTCCAACATAATCAGTATCTTCTACCCCCCTTCCTAGCATCCCCAAAACCCACCACTCACCAAAACTTAAGGCCCAAGCATGCATGCACTTCCACGCATAGCAAAAACAAGCTAAGCACTATCGACAAACCTGTAAGGTGAAAAGCCTATCTTCGAATTGCACTTCTTTTGTCAAAAAATCCGCTCCAATGGTTGCCTTGTACTGATTACTAAACTTCTTATTCACATATCTAAATTACATAGGTTAGGGGAAATACATAGTTTCCATACTGAACTGAGCACTAGAAAACAAATAGCATCGAAGATTAAAACAATAATAAACATAAACAAGGAGTATCTAGACAGAAACGAAGGATACTGGTTCATCAAAGACGTCTTCCCCACCCTGCGAAACATCAACAGAAGCATCATACAATGATTTCAAAAGAAATAAAGAACTAATAACCGGTAGGAATGGTAAAACTCTGTAACTAACAAATCGACTAAGCGCAATTGCAAATGCGAAAGAGATTTAAGTAACGGAAGCAACGGTTATTGTGATCCAAACATAAACAAGAAAAATTCCACAATATAATCCAATCGGAAGTAAAACGAATTAACGTAACGAAATTATCGAAGGGAGATTGAAGAAAGAGGTTGAATAGCGCGAAAAATGAAGAGATCTGTGTAAAAGAAACCCTAGAAATGGAAAAGATGAAGAGACGAACCCACTGTCACCGAGAATGATGACCTTCAGGAGAGTTCTTCTTCGGGAAGGCATGGCGGTGGCGAGCGATGCGATCGGAGAAAGTAAGAATTGAAATAAAGTGTTACAGGGTGTTTGACTGAGTCGTTGCGATGCGCTACGATCTCTCTCTCTCTCTGTCTCTCTCTGCACCTCCAAACTCAACTTCTCTCTCGTCTCTCTCTACTCAATATTGCAAACGCCTTCGGCTCTCTCTTCGCGAATATTCCCTCGCTGACAGCTGGACTAGTACAAATGAAAATCAACAACTATTTCTCTGAAGTTTATTTATTCATTATTTATTGTGCACCATATTTATCCATATATATATATATATATATATATATATATATGGTATATGTGAATTTGTTAGATTTTTGTTTTTTAGTTGGTAAATTTTAGTAATGTGTATCGAGTTTTAATAGACAAAAATACTCTTATATATATATATATATATGGTATATGTGAATTTGTTATATATTCTAAGTTTTAAGGTTAAGATTTTAATAATTTTTATTCTCAAAATTAAAAAAAAAGAAACTCTCAAATCCTTACTTACCTCTCTCATTCATCTCTCTTCCTGTAACATTTTTCTCTCTCATCCTTACTGTAGCCCAATTGAAAAAATAAGAAACACTTGCCGTTAAACAATTTGTCTTTGTAAAGAGTTGAGTCATTGACATATTCACCTTCAAGCAAAGGTTCATTTAAGATCTCTTCAATTTCATCGTCTTCACTAATCTCTCTAATTTCATCATTTGCATATGTTGAATCATCATCTCTAAGAAAACCCTCCAGGCCTATTACCATGTCATTATGCTTGTGAAAATTAGATAAAATTATATACAACAAAAATTATAAAATGAAAACTCATTATAAAATCATTTTTTGTAAGAAATTGTTTAACGAGTGTTTTTGATGTTTTCCAGGTCAATTACCAATTTCTTTGATATTATTATGCTTGTGAAAATTAGATAAAATTAGATAAGACAAAAATTATAAAATGAAAACTCATTATAAAATCTTTTTTGTATGAAATTATTTAATAGCGAATATTTTTTATTTTTTCCAGGTTAATTACCAATTAACTTTATGCTTATGAAAATTGGTGAAAAATTAGATAAGACAAATTATTAAGGGTTTTAGGGTTTATTAAAATACCCTTAACCTTAAAACTTAGAATTTATGATAGGTATTTTTGTCTACTAAAACCCGATACACATTGCTAAAATGTACCAACTGAAAAACAAACATAGACTCATTAGCAAACCATATATATATATATATAAGAAAGAAGAAAATATTGGAAACAGAAAAAAAAAAAACTAGTTACAAAAATATGTTTTGAAAGACATACTTTTATTTATATTTTTTTCTTTTCATTCCTCAATTATCAAATTATTTTTACGGATTTGATCTGTGATAGTTCAATAGTACACTCTTAAACTATTAACTAATTATTGAACAAATAAATAATGACATGATAATGATAATGCGATAAATGAATCTAACTTATTAAGTTGATTTTGGTAAGCTATTGTGTGATATGATTTGATAGATACATTTCGTTATTACCGTGTTAATGAGATTTTATCACTCTTAACTTTTATTTTCTTATTTCGTGAAATTCACATCTTTATTCTTTTAAAACTGAAATATATATTTATTTTGATGAAATAAATGAGTTTGTATTATTTTTTTTGTGTGTGTGTGTGTATATATATATATATATATTGTCGTGAATTTAAAATTGTATTTTACTTTTTATAAAATGGATAAATTTTTATAATACTTTTTTAAAAATCAATTTCTAATACAATCGAGATATAACTCACGTTTGATGCAAATGAACTATACTTTGTTAATATTTTATTTTTCTTTAAATACGTAAAATTAATTGGTGGCCCATGGTATAAATTTAATTATTCTACTCAAGTGTCAAAAAAAATATACACAAACAAATTAAACTGTTGAGGTAGAAACATCTCTTACACAAAACTATTTTAACATCATCGTTGAATATCTCCAACCAACAAAATAATAATATAATAATATAAAGTTAATAATTTACCTCTTTAAAATTTGTTCGTTCAACACGTGTCATCACCGTAAAAGCACACTACACACAAAATTCCAACTCTCACCGTCTAAGAACTGAAATAATAATTGGAATATTTAAATAGTATTTCATAAACTAACCTCATAATTGGAACCCATGAAATATGTTTGACCGTCATATATCCCAAAACACACACACATACATATATTTGTATAATATTTTATTTTATAACTATTTCATTTTTAAATAACTTTATTTAATTATAAGAACAAGTATTTTTTAAGAGTTTTTGTAATAAATAATAATTATGTATAATAATATATTTTTATCCACATAATTGTATCTTAATTTTTAATGAATAAAAAACAAAACATATCACAGAGAAAAAATAACAAAAACAACAAATAACA